CTATCTTTTATCTGTTTACTCACTCTCATTCCTGCATCAGTCTTTCACTTTCTATTACATGCTCTCTCACTTCCTTTCACTCTCCATCTTTCTCCCCATCTCTAATTGGTCACCTCTGAATATTTTCTCATTCTATCTCTTTTTTTTCTGCCTACTCACTGTCATTAACTTGTCAGTTTCTTCATGTTCTTTCTATTTCATACTCTCTCACATTCTTTCTCTAACTTCCTTCCTCCCTTCCTTTTTCTGTTCCTCTCTCTCCTCTCTCTCTCTCTCTCTCTCTCTCTCTTTCTCTTTCTACTTTTCTGTATTCCTTTTTCTCTCTTTTACTATCTATCCCTTTCTTTCAACTTCTATCACATATTCCATTTGTCCCTCTCAATTTCACTGTCTCTATAATATCTGATTAATGCATTCTCTTTTAGTTAGGGTTAAGCTTGGTGGTAAAAATGGTATGAAGTTTGCTTTAATCACTTATACTCAGATAAGATTTATAGTTTAGAATGCAATATGCAATGCTTGGTCAGTCAGCTGTCTATCTTGAATATTTAGATCCCTTAACAATCATAATATTTATGTCACAAAGAGAAAAAAGTTTTTTTAGTATTTTGAATCTATTAAACTATTTTTATCTCTAAATTTAAAATTAGATTATTTTTTTTATTCAATAATGGGTTAAATAGTTGGGTAGACTAGATTCTCATGCTTTATTTGGAAACCTGTCTAAGTGAATGACTAATGTCAATTCAAAAACCATAGAGGAGACAACAGTAAACCACTCTGTTATCTTTCCCAAGAAGTCATGCCGATTCACAGATAAAGAAAAGGAATCTGTGGAGAGCCATGATCACCTATATCCTGAAGAGAGAATGAAAACTCTGAATTCAAAAACACAGAGAAAGCAACAGGAAACCTCTCTGCAAACTTTCCCAAGAAGCTTTGGAATTACACAGATAAGAAATAAAAGGAATCCGTGGAGAGCCATGATCACCTATGAAAGGGAGAATCAAAACTCTGAAATCAAAACCATAGAGGAGACAACAGGAAACCACTCTGCTATCTTTCCTAAGAAGTCATGCCAATTCACAGATAATAAAGAAAAGGAATCAGTGGAGAGACATGATCACATATATCCTGAAAGGGAGAATGAAAACTCTGAATCTGAGAGCCATGATTACCTATATCCTAAAGGGAGAATGAAAACTCTGAATTCAAAACCATAAAGGAGACAACGGGAAACCACTCTGCTATCTTTCTCAAGCAGTCATGGCAATTCACAGATAATAAAGGAAAGGAATCAGTGGAGAGCCATGATCACCTATATCCTGAAAGGGAGAATGAAAACTCTGAATTCAAAATCATAGAGGAGACAACAGGAAATCACTCTGCTATCTTTCCTAAGAAGTCATGGCAATTCACAGATAATTAAGAAAAGGAATCTGTGGAGAGCCATGATCACCTATATCCTGAAAGGGAGAATGAAAACTCTGAATAGTGACATCAAGAAGAAACCAGTATCTTTCTCAAGAATTATTGGCAATTCACAAATAAGAAAGAAAAAGGTATCTGTGGTAGGCCATAAATAACTATGTCTTGAATGAACATGATATTAAAAAAATAAAAAAATACTCATGGACTTATATTTGTTTGATCATTTCTTGATAACATTTCATCTTGCAGAATTTTTAGTCTTAATCAATCACTATGATGTCTATTTAGTAATCTTTTGCAATTGATGACTGAAGAAAATTCATCTTTGCAATTCTTAAACTACCTCAGATCATGAAAATTGCATATCTCTTTACTTAGATTATTTAATATTTATTCATCATCATCATCATCATTAGTCCCATAACTGGGTGTGGTCATAGTGTCACTATGCAACTGAGCACCAGACCTGTTACCTCTACTTATATATCTCTAGAAAGCCGGGGGGGCATTTATTCCTGCACAGTGTGTATTTGGCAAATAAATCTGAGGAAACCTTTCCCTCATCAGGTAAAACCACAGTCAATGTGGTTTCATTTGCTTTGTTTCCAGACACATGATTATTAATTTCATCAGGGGAACCTCCTACCCTGGCAGTTGACTTCATTCTAGGAAACCCTTCAGCCAACGATTCTCTGTCATCACTGCACTAGCTGGAGTGCAGTCTACACTACTGTGCTAGATTACTGTTGACCATATAAGACAGTTCATCCTCTCTTTGACAGATCTTATTTTTAATCCTGACGGGTGTCTATCCACCCTCCTCACCAAAAAAACCTGTTGGAGGAATTGGCTTAGTTACCGATGACCTGGCCATGTGGTAAGTAGTATTGGATTACAGAGTACCAGTAGTACTTGTAGAATGACCTGACATAATGACATTATGTTGGATATATAACTGTTGTCAATTGTGCAGAAGTGATACCAACTCAACCATAGGATTAGACTAATGAAAAATGTAACAATATAAGTGCATATATTTGTCTATATCTATTTCAATATGTTCATATATATATATATATATATATATATATATATATATATATATAATGATAATATGATAATGGTAATATTAGCTCTTTCTATATAAGGAAACATTTGGTATTCATTGACAAAGCATCCACTGTCACTCTTAGTTGAAATTTATAAAAACTATTAAAACAAATTTCAGGAAAATAGGTTTGTCAAGTTCAGTAACTGTTATTATTCTTCCCAGTATTAAGAAAGCTTCCTTCCTAACATTTTGTTTAAAGTGGTGTGGAAGGTCAATATCTTGATTACGTAATTATTTTCTCATCATTGACCCTTCTCCAGTGACCCTACAAGAATATTTATTATTAAATATTTGATAATTAATACCTAATACAAAGAAGTTCTGTGGATATTCCATCATTGTAATTTTTAACACATGCAACATAAATTAACATTTACTTATTAAGCACCAAAACTATTAATTAAAATTCCCTTTTTGAAATTTGTACATTGTTTTCATTTTGTTTTCCACACATTGTTGTGACTAATAATTCCTTCCAATGATATGATTTGGGCTCTGACAAATACCTATTGTAATGTTCTTGGCCTATACATGCCTGTGCTAATTTTCGTAGATTAACACAGGCATTTTCGTAGATTAGCAGTGAAAGTGTTAAACTGCCAGGGTCCACTGAAAATTATATGGAGTGCTAACTAAAGTTAAGGAAGGTAATCATGAAAAAAATTATCTTCCCTAACATTAAATTTGTAATATCACTTTCAAAATCGTACTTTGAGTGAGAAAGTGAAAGCTAAGTATTTGGGTGTTGCTCACAAGATATAGCAACAAAATTCCTTACTCTTTTTAGATCTTTAGTTGATTTTACAACATGTCAACCCTAGTTGAGTTATTTACTGTTGAATTTTGTATAGGACAAATCCACATGTGCAGGATGTGGATGTGCAGGTGGTGTTATGGATAGCAGCACAGAATATGAAATCAGAGAGCCGAGTTCAAGTTCTAATCAAGTTTATTATCATTTACTACCATTTGGTATGAATTCACCTCATCATCCTCTGGCTATATGTTAAATAGTAGAACAGACTGGGTTGGCAATCAATATAGGAGAAGGACAATACGGAATTAAAAACCCTATGTAATACAGGTGAAACACATACAACTAAGGAAAGGATTGTGGTGATCACAAAGACTCATGACCTCGATTATGGGCAGCTTCCTTTGTTTGGAGCTCGAGTGAAGATCAAACTCACTACTCAATAATCTTATAATCCACTGCAATTAGATCTCTTTCTGAGTGATTCTACATGTCAGATAGACACAAAAGCTAAGAAAGAAAAACACAAAATAAAAAAAAAAATTTTCTGCACATGGGCTTCACATATCACGTCCAGTCTGCAAAGCAAATTCCTATAATAAAATACAATAGCCAATCACAAACATTGCTGATGAAAAAAATATAAGCCGGAGGGAGGCACTTAAAAGGAAATCCCTTATAAACAAACAACACAGTAGCAGACCAAGAGGTCACCTGTCAACACCAGCTATGCTGTCACCATCATCACCATGATTGTCTTTCTTTCTCAAACACCATTGAGTTCCCTGATACCATCACTGTAATTTCTAACATCTTGATATTTTCACTCCAGGCCTCCCTTGTTTTCACTAACATGGCACCATTTTTGTTGATTGTCCATTTGACCAGAATCCAACAGAGACATTCTGCTAACAACCTGCCAATGCACTCCTTGAATTGGCAAAGTCAGATGCGTGACTTGTCTAAACTCATCACGCTTGCATCCTTGTATCAATAAAATCAGATTTGTAACTTCACTAACCATTGGACCTTGCTCACAGACACCACTGTAACCTTGTAATGTTAAGGAAGCCAGAAAAGAAAGAAAACTGTTATCTAAAAACAAATGAATATTAAGGAATGAAGAAAAAAATGTGTTATATACCTATGTACCTATGATCACTAATGGGCATGTCCCAATCCTCATAAATACGTTGGACACTATTGTAAGTGCGAAAGGTGGGGGTAATATGCTGTTTTAGTAGTCCACCACTAGCAGTGGTTTACCTACTCCATACCACTGATGAGTATTGTTTTTTGTTGATGTTATAAAGTTTAGTGTTGTAACCTAGGGAAGGTTACTGAATAGAACAATCACATGAAGGTTGGTAGTGAATGATAATACTTTGAACAAGAACAGCACATATAAGATCCAACAGCGGCACATAGAAGAAGTAGTCAACTGCTAAAAGTGAGTGAAGTGAATTCCACAATGAATCTCCAACTGCAGAGCAATATATAGTATTTACTACTGTATTTATATGAATGGCGACATACCCATTATCGTCCGTAAGTATGCTACAACAATTACCATTCCATTTCCAACCACCATTTTGGTTATTCCTCATTCAGTAACATTTTCTATGTTACAACAAAATGAAAAAATTGAATGCTAAGGGAGGAAAAAAAGAACGAAAACTGTTACCTATGAAAAACAAATGAATGTTAGGGATGACAGAAAAGAAGGAAAACTGTTATCCAGAAAAAAATGAATATTAAAGAAAGAAGAAAAGAAGGGTAACTATTACCGCGAAAAAAATGAATATTAAAGAAAGAAGAAAAGAAGGGTAACTATTACCATGAAAAAATGAATATTAAAGAAAGAAAGAAAAGAAGGGTAACTATTACCGTGAAAAAAATGAATATTAAAGAAAGAGGAAAAGAAGGGTAACTATTACCATGAAAAAAATGAATATTAAAGAAAGAAGAAAAGAAGGGTAACTATTACTGTTAAAAAAATGAATATTAAAGAAAGAGGAAAAGAAGAGTAACTATTAGCATGAAAAAAATGAATATTAAAGAAAGAGGAAAAGAAGGGTAACTATTACCATGAAAAAAAATGAATATTAAAGAAAGAAGAAAAGAAGGGTAATTATTACCATGAAAAAAATGAATATTAAAGAAAGAAAGAAAAGAAGGGTAACTATTACCGTGAAAAAAATGAATATTAAAGAAAGGGGAAAAGAAGGGTAACTATTACCATGAAAAAAATGAATATTAAAGAAAGAAGAAAAGAAGGGTAACTATTACTGTGAAAAAAATGAATATTAAAGAAAGAAGAAGGGTAACTATTACCGTGAAAAAAATGAATATTAAAGAAAGAGGAAAAGAAGGGTAACTATTACCATGAAAAAAATGAATATTAAAGAAAGAAGAAAAGAAGGGTAACTATTACCGTGAAAAAAATGAATATTAAAGAAAGAAGAAAAGAAGGGTAACTATTACCGTGAAAAAAATGAATATTAAAGAAAGAAGAAAAGAAGGGTAACTATTATCGTGAAAAAAATGAATATTAAAGAAAGAAGAAAAGAAGGGTAACTATTACCACAAAAAAAATGAATATTAAAGAAGGAAAAAGAAAATTTTCATCAAAATGAGAATGAATCCAAATGAAGGAAGAAAAAGTAACATTCACCTAGAGAAGAACAAATACTAATAAAGGCAAATAAAATAATGAATTTATATTTAATTTAGAAATAAGGTTTTATTATTACTTCAGAATTTATCTGAATTAATGGCCACTGTTTTTTGTTCATTTCTTTTTTTCATGCATTGCTTCAGCTTGTTGATACTCTGTGTCTTCAAAGCAAAATAAGCAAAGAAGAATAAAAAGTGAGAGGAAATGTTGTCATCTTGAATGAAATCTATTTTTTAGAGTGATGTAATGAAATAACCTGTCACCCCCATGAGTAACTACACTATAGGTAGTAACTACCTATAAGTATCTGTAATCAACGGACTACAGAGACTAGCTTGGATCAGTTTGAATATGACTCAGACTTACACGAGAACCACCGACCTTCTAATAGTAGCACTCACTACTGGATTGACCTTGTGCATAACTGTTACCTTTATTCTTATTGTACTGGTTTTGTTTACTTATTTTATCTACCTTGCTTTTCAAGTATATATTCCTATTAGCACGGAATATAACATAGAGTTACCTCAATCCTTTATCTATAACAACATTATATTTGTAAGTGAAAAGCTAAGAGTCATTTATTATATTTTTTCCTTGGATCAGTGCTGAATCACCATATTACTACTTCTTGTATGTGCCGTGTCCATTCAGGGTGGGTGATCATGGTTCTCCACATATTCCGATACCCACTTTTATTTCTCCCTTTGCCATGTCTCGCAAGCTATTGTTCCTCCATCAATTCACACACACTCATCAGGTAGGTGACCTACTGCCTTTCTCTACCACTCCTGCCATTGATATATCTTGTAAGAATTAAGTTTTCCAAACCCTCCTTCCTCATTATGTGTCCAAGAAATGTCTGTTGTCTCTTTCTCACTCTAAGTGTTTTTTTGTTACCATTTTCTTTAAGACTTCCTTGTTACTTACTTGTCACTAATCAAATAAAAACATCAATTAGACTTTGGGGATTGTAGGCAGGGAAAGAAATCAGTCTAACAGTCAGTTTATCCAAAGCAGTCACAGTTACCACCCAGGAAGACAAGTTTGCAAACATGCAAGCAACATTTGATCTTGAGAGGAAAGAGCTCTGAAGATAACCCTTGACAAATAATGATAAACTGTAAGGTCAATGTGACAAGATAACAAATAATTCCATTAAATCTCCTCACTATTTTTCTTATTATATTTCCTCTTCCCTTACTTCTAAGCCTGCAGCATAAGAAGGAAAACAGATGACCCCCCAAAGCAACTTTTCCTAATCACTTTCCAAGCTTCAAACAAGAAAGGAAATATAGCAAAGAAAAGGTCAGATCATATCAGGCTCAGATCAAATCCCTTAACCTATTATCTCATTAGAACATTTTCATTGACCAGCTAGCTGTTCATTGAGTGGGATTGGAATAGTTTATCTCTGAATTTCTTATACAAGTTGTTGTTATAATAATAATACAAGCAAGATATGTGAAGCTTCCACAGGTGCCAACAGCTCAGAGTAACATATAATAATTGTGCTTGTCTCTCCATTTATTAGTTCCCACAACTATTACACTCTGTCAATACCACATAAATAATGTACTATTACATTTTGATTGTGAAGAAATAGGTGAAAAGACACTACTTGGTTTCAGTGAGAAAATGAAAGAAAGTAAAAAAGCGAAAAAAGAAAGAAGGCATAATTGTTTAATATCTGCCAACATCTCATAAATAATGGACTATTTCATTTTGATAAACAAAACACATATCAGAGCCGCTATTTGTGTTCAGTAAGAAAGTCAATGAAAGAAAGAAGGGATGATAGAAGTGTTTAATGTCTGTTTCAGTGAAATGAAAAAAGTTGTCAATTTCAAATGTTTTCATTTGTATCCACTTCTTAAAATAATGACCATCATTCATATCTATGATTGTTATTGCAATATTATTTCTGAAGCAGGCATTTATAAAATAAATTACCAAAACTATTCCTCCCAATATATTGGAGAAACAAGCATATATATATATATATATATATATATATATATATATATATATATATATATACTGTGTGGGAAACAAAGTGGCCCTATATTGTATATCTCTGTTAATAAAAGTTGTGCAGAAACTTTGTTTACAACTCCATATCATTCAGCTAAATGACAAATTTTATTTGTATTATCTTATATATATATATATATATATATATATATATATATATATATATATATATATATATATGTATGTATATTCTCTTTCTTTTTCCAAACCCTTCCCACTTCATATTATTATGTATGTTCCTTGGTCAGCAAATGTAACTGATACCAGTTTAGTAAGGTTGTGTATCCATATAAACCTACAAAATAATAGTACAGATTCTTTCATATAGGTTTCCTTATTTTTGTTATCTTTATCACAATGTTTCGGCTGTTTTGGGGCCTTCTTCTGTAGCATTCACTAACCTTCCAAGAATCTAGTTTATTGTTGGGACACATCATCTTGTTTTATAGAAGTTACAAATACAATTCCTATGGAGTTTTGGTTGCAAACACTGGAATAATTGCTAAAAGCACCCCCCTCACCAAATTTATAGAGAAATCCTACAAAATACATGCTGGGATTTTCTTCCTAACCAATAAAAATGGTCACAGTCTCATCTGTCATATTTTTGTTTTTTTCCTGTCTTGAATTCAGAATGTTACAATCACTTTTGTGTGTTAACAACATCCTTACTTTGTGAACTTTTTGCTTTATTACTGTTTCTTTGCTTAGTTTTGTCTTGCATATTTATTCTTTGCTTAGTATTATTTTGCCCACTTCTTTTTCATCATTTTCTTATTGCTTACTGGAAAATTTTTCAATCCTATTTGTTGAGCATTTTTGCCAATTACTCCACAGGGAGATAAAGAATTATCATGAGGAATAATTAAGAGTTACAATACCTGAGATAAATAAGAACAATGCACTTCTTTAAATCTGAAGTTGCTAGAATTTAATTGAATGTAATAGACACCTAAGGATCTGTGACAACAGTGCTACAATTGATATTAGACAATGTTGGTTTTGGTCACTATTTTGTAGCTGAAAAACTTGCTACCTGTCATGACTGAGGTGGAAAACTTTCAAAGTCAAATAAATTCAACATTTCCAAATGAAAGTAATTCAACATGTTCAAAAGAAAGGGATTCTAGATGTGGAGGAATTTTATAAATTTCTTCTACACTTTTAATTCTATACGTATATTTATACAGAACAAACTTAACTCGCAAAAGAAGAAAAATAAAATTATATTCACATGTGTATGGATAGGTGAAAAAATGTACTTAGCTGTAATGTATATATGTGAATGTGAACATAGTTTGAAATTAACTAGTAGGTTTGCCATGGACACAGAAGTCTCCCCAGTGGAAGCAAGTACCAATGTTGTCACTACATCACAGAGTAAAAAAGGGAATGAGAGATAAGGACTCCCACCTTTATAGTATGGAATACCACCTCATGGCATCTTAACAAACAAGGTAGGAGCAATCCCCATGAAAGGGTGAAGGGAACAGAGTCCAAAATGTAATAAAAACAACACAAACACAAAAAAAGCTCCATACAACAACTTAGACAAAAAGTCTATGTCAAGCCAGAGTATGAATTTCTTTGCTTAGCAAAGGATCAGAGAGCAACCACAGATAGATACCATTTAGTAGATTTTATTATGCAAACCAATGTTTTCACAGTAAAATTGATATTAACCAATTGATACCTGTAAGAGTTTCAGGATATACCAATACAGGCAATATATCAGGTGAATTTCAGCTTACCTTATTCCTCTTTAGGACAGATACCAATAACAAATTATTTATGGTGGAAGGTGCCATCCACGAAATACCAGTACAAAATACAAGTATAACAGCCTCAACCACATGTAAAAAAGATTAAAAATAAGGGATTAAAAATAATAAAAAAGAAAAAGCCAACACTCAATAACATTAACTATGAACATGGTCACAATGTGCTGACCATGTTTGGAAAATAAAAAATTCCTATAACTTTGGATACATACATAAAAAAACCCACACGTTGAGTTAAAAATAAAAAATAAAAATCCTTCTTGATAATATCTAAAAGAATAGCCAGTAGAAAATACAAGCATAATAGACTCATCCACATGTAAAAAAGATTAAAAATAATGGAAGCACTAATAATAAAAGAGAAAAAGCCAATACTCAATAACATTAACTATGACTACAGCTACATGCTGACCATGTTTGAAAAATAAAAAAATTCCTATAACTTTGGATACATACATAAAAAAACCCACACTTTCAGTTAAAAATAAAAAATAAAAATCCTTCTTGAAAATATCTAAAAGAATAGCCGAAAGCACTTGGATATGCAAAACATTTGGACAATTTTTATACACTTTGTGTCCAGAAAAGAAAATAGAAGAAAAACTAAATAAATTCACCCCAAGCAAGGTGATAATGCCACTAAGATGTAAAGGGTTACTGAGAGTGAAAGTGAATGAAATGAATTTAGTGAAGAGAAAGGATGATAAAGAATAAGATTCAGAAAGGTACATGATGGTGATTGGCATTGCATTTAAATTTTTGAAGATTGTAGGTGGCATGGAAGCAAAAAAAGAAAAATCAAGGTCTACAGGCAAGAAGTGCAAGGAAAAAATATTAAAATTGAGCATACAGTTGCATTTAGCTAGTTCAACAATAAAACAGAGACCTAATTGCCAATCTAGTACCATACTTAAATACATGCAGTCAAGGCACCAAGGAAGAAAGAACAATTGCCAGGGGAAAGCCATAAAAAATTAAAAAATAAATAATAAATAAAACAAAAAAATAAATAAAAATAATAATAAATAAAAAATAAATCAGTCAATAAATAAAAAACAAACATGCAGATATACACAAACATGTATGCATATATATATATATATATATATTCGACTCTCCTGTTGTATTTGACATATGAGGGTCAAGCAGCTCAGTTCCTAGGAAACGGCAGCCAGACACCACCCTATGTAATTTGATTATAGTGGTGAACATTTTATGCAGAAGCATCCACACTTTTTGAAGGGACAAATACAGAGAATTGGTGCACTGCATGTCACAAGGACCGCAAATGACCCTCCGCAGGTTTTGAATTCAGAGTTTTTCTTCTCTTAAACAAGTTGCCATCCAAAGCTATAGAACCCAGTCTGTCCTGCTATTTACCCATAGCTAGAGGTAGAAAAGGAGGATTTACACCTTTCCCAAGGGTATTAACATGTAAGTGAATGTAATGGATTCGATTGGAATTTGAACTCACTTCTCCAATTCCTCAAGCCAAGTCACTATCCATTACTCCAGCGTGCCTCCACACACACACACACACACACACACACACACACACACACACACACACACACACACACACACACATATATATATATATAGTTTTAAGGTGTGCTATATTTATGGGATAAAGTGCTCAATATCAGAGATAGAGCGTATGTAAATATAAAAGTGAACATTGAAGTCAACTCTCAGGGCAACAATCTGTTTCATGCTAGACACAATTGTCAGGCCACAAGTATATATATATATATATATATATATATATATATATATATATATATATATAAATTAACTGATTTAAAATATGTTTTACACAGTAATAACCATGTTTCAAAAATGGAAGCTAAAACTTTAAATTTAATTTTGCAGTCAAAACTCAGTAAATTTAAAAAATAAGTTACTCCAAAATTCACTTGAGGATGAAATTGAACTAATGATTTTAATTTAATTACAAAATTAAATTTAAAGTTTTTAGCGTCCATTTTTGAAACATGGTTATTACTGTGTAGCGAAAAAACCATATTTTAAATCAGTTAATTTATAATATTAATGCTCTGTAAATTTACATTGAGCACTATTTTGTAAAAAATAAAAGTATCAATAAGAACACCAGACTACATATCTTACTGTTCTTTCCTTTTATTTAAATATACATATATATATATATATATATATACACACATGCACAGACATGACACATATATATATATATACTAACACCGATGAATATTTATACATATATATATATGTGTGTGTGTGTGTGTGTGTGTGTGTGTGTGTGTGTGTGTGTATTTTTTAATTGATTTCACACCAAGAAAGGCATTAAATCCACTAGGATACAAGGAGTTACTTTACTTAAGGAGCAAGAAGAAAAGAAGAGTAATCATGAGGACAGTAGAAAGTGATTGACAGTGCATTTAGTTTTTTTAAAGATTAAAGTTGGCTAGAAAGCATAGAGCGAGAAGGGAGTTCCACAATTAAGAAGTGCAAGAAAAGAAACTGCCAGCATAGAACTGACTAGCCAACTCAACAGTAAATTGGTGAGACCTTGATGCCAGTCTAGTATTGCATTTAAATTCATAAAGTCTAGGTACCATGGCAAAGAGCTCATCCAATTGTTGTGGAAGTATTTATAGAAAAGGTAAAGGAAGGCAACTTTACAGTGGTGGGAAAGTGACTGAAGCCAAGATACCAGATCAGGACCAATAAAATGACTGATTCTTCTTTGGATTTTATCAAGGATATATGGCAGAAGCACCAGACCATATGTGGTAGCAATATTCTAAGCATGGACAAAAGATTGATTGGTATTGTTATAGACAAGCGTATGGTTGCAAGAAAGAAATATGACAACAGTAGAAATAGATTTACGTGATTTATTTCAATAGGAACATGTGGATTTGGCACAGCTACCTTGTGGTATAGTTCATAGGCTGGCTGAAGATCTGGGTTGATCTCTCATAGTAGTTCTCGCTAGTTGGCGTGGCGCTGGCTGCTGCTGACCGCTCAGTCTGACCGTGACAGGTCTCTTCCTTGGCCTACTGTTGACTGCCTGTTGTACTTCCGTGTGACCCCTTTTATGGCATTTTTTTATGGCTTAACAGGCTCGAAAAACGACGTGAGTATAATTAGGAGGGAAGCATTTTTATTGGTCGAAAAATAGAAACACTTTAAAATATTATTTTTTTTATATTATATTTTTACCAGGACTCGTGCATCGGGAACGAAGATAATGGTCATTTTGTGATGGGGCCTTGTCCCGTTCACATCCGGCTCTCGCTCTTGAGTATGTTAGTTTATTTGCCTGTAAATCAGCCAAGATATGTCTTATTTTATTTTATAACAGTATTACCTAGCGGTCACCCACCAAGGTACTGACTTCCATGATTATATGAGAACCGGTGTTTCAGTATGTACATATATATATATATATATATATATATATGTATGCATGTGTGTGTGTGTGTGTGTGTGTGTGTGTAAATATATGTGTGTGCATGTATATATATATATATATATATATATATATATATATATATATATATATAAATATATGTGTGTGTATTTGTGTGTTCTTTGTGTTTATGCATCTATTTTTGTTTCTGTGTATATGTGCATATATACACACAGATAATTATGATTATCAGCAAAAT